GGTGCTCAGGAGGCAATCACAATGCCTGGCACACAGTAAATTCTTGTAGAGTGAGTTGTATTCATTGCATGGAACTCCAGATCACCCTGGTGGGAAAATAAATGTAGAAGACATTTACCTGCAGCAAAATCTAAGCCAGTGGCATCCATAAAAACTTTCAAGCTACTTGAGCAATATTATATTCATACAGCAGACACATGTCTACTTTATTTAGCCAATGAGGAACATCAAAACTATAAGAGAATTAAAGCCATCACCAGCAGGTACAATAAGGTATTAGTAGGCTTCCTAGAAATGTCTAACAGGAAGTTCCAATGCACATGTTTAAGATGACCAGTGAAGTCTGCTAGAAGCAACAAGATTGGACTGGAGTTGGTATGTCAAATGATAGCCCTTGAGAAAACCACAGGACTCTGAAAACAGGGATGAGGCTGTTTTTAGGGCCTGGGTTCTAATGCAGGATCTGAGGAGGATCTAAGGAAGGCCGAGGCCAATTCTGGATTACCTAGTGAATATTCACTGGGAGTGACCGTGAGGCAAGGGGGATTTAGCAATTAAAATATGGAAGCAGCAAAGGTGTGTGACAGTGTGGGTAGGAAGAAGGCTGTGTCAGCACAGCCAGAACCCTGACACACTGCACACAGTGTGGAAGACAGTGAGCTTCCTGCTAATTCCCAGCTGGCCGTCTTCCTGCATACATGTCTTCTGAAGCAAGCTGACAAGACTACCTTGTTCTCACATCCTTCCAAGCCAATTTTCACTTTCTTCCAAATACAGGTTTTGACTCTGTCAGAGATAAATATTCAATAATTTCTTCTATGATTTTATTTTTTTATTTTTTATTTTTTCATTTATTTATTTATGTATTGCTTTTTCGAGACAGGGTTTCTCTGTGTAGCTCTGTAGACCAAGCTGGCCTAGAACTCACAGAGATCTACCTGTCTCTGCCTCCTGAGTGCTAGGATTAAAGGCATCTGCCACCAATCCCCGGACCTGTTTTTAAGATCTTAATCTAAGAGAAACAGGCCCAAAATAAAAGTGTTTTAAATATAACACTTTCCAACCCACTGAACCTCACCTGCACTTCCCTGGGCCTCTAGGCATACCTCTAGCCAGGTACTCAGGCCCCTGGAAGAACATAGCTACTGTGGTTTGGATGTGAAATGTCCCCCACAGGCTTGTGTGTTTGACTCTTGGTCACCAGATGGTGGTGCTGCTGTGGGAGGCTGTGAATCCCTTAGCAGGTGGAGCCTCGCTAGAGGAAGTGGGTTGACGGGTGTGTCTTGAGCTTTACAGCTGAGCTCTGCTCTTGTCCCATGAGCTTTGAGGAGGTGAGAACCCCAACTTCACGTCCCCATGGTCACAGAATCACCCGCTCCTTCTACATCATGATGGATGAATACTCTAAAACAGTAAAGTGAAATGAACCCCCTTAAGTTACTCCTTCTCCTATATCTGCTCACAGGACACAGAAAGTAAGTGACACAGTTGGCTTATTTCTGGCTCTTATCCGACTCTAAATCCCTACAGAGCAAAGCCATGAAGCATTTAGTTTAAACACCACACTGGACACAGCTCCAAGGATATCCCAAGTGCTTTGGAGTTCGAGCTGCTGTGGTGCCTTGGTGTACAATGCTATCACTGCAAACTTGTAGCGAATGACTTCAGGCTTGAGGGAAATTTCCTCGAATACACAGGTTTTTTTTTTTCCTTCATACTGATTGATGCATCTTGAAAAGGCATTTTTGTGTCACTACTCTACTGAAGTTTCCCTTTGGAACAACTCTAAACTCTGAAATTCTGTGTACTCTAAATCAGGTTCCAAACCATGGCTGATGCGTACGCTCTCCAGCAGTGGCCAGGCATGGGTTCTGCAGGTGTGCAGTGTATTCTCAGCGGACACTGAGTACTGGAAGGAAACTCCACCTTAGATAAAAGGAGGAGGGTTCAGACTTTTTTGTGAGAGGCTTCCAAATTCCTTTACAAGATTTGAACACAGTTAGTCTTCTAACTTACAAACTTACTAAATTCCAGAAGTTTGTTTGTTCATAAATCATGTGTGGAAGACAGAACTCCTTCCCCACAGCAAGACTTGCATGTGTGAGAGTTGGAGTCTCAGGGAAACCTACAAATCCAGAACCACCCCCACCCTGCCCTCTGCTTATACAAATCAGGTAGATTCTAAGACATCCTAAGAACATGAAAACACACAGACTGTACCAGACCCAGACATGGGACAAGAAAGTAATAATCATAGGAAAGTAATGTTCAAAAAATTATGTGACTTTTACATTTTCATTTAATGTAGCACTTTATAGCTTCTCCTTGGCATAAGTAAACTCCCAGCACTCTTACTTGCATGTTTGGGGCCTTTATTAAGTTAAATAAGCACTGAAATAGTGAGATAGTCAATCTGAACATCAAAGCAGCAGCTTCCTGACCAGCAGGAGTGAGATACACAGCGTGGATACCCTGGGAAAGGTATCACTAGTGTACTCACACAGTTTAGAACTTGCTAGGTCACTGAAACCACAGAAAGTAAATCATAGGAATTAGTGAGATGGCTCAGCAGATAAAGGCATTTGTCAAAGCCTGACAGCATAGCTCCAGCCTCGAGCCCCACATGGTAGAAGGACAAAGGAGAAAACAGACTCCCCTCCCATAAGGTGTCTTCTAACCTTCAGGTAAGTACTGTGGCATGCGCATCCTCCACACACATAGTCATACTACAGAACTAACAATTAGACTGATATTTACTTTTCTAGTTATATTTATTTATATATATATATATATGTGATTGTTTTGCCTGCATGTATGCATGTGAAGTGTGTGTGTGTGTGTGTGTGTGTGTGTGTGTGTGTGTTTCCTGCAGAAACAAGAAGGCATTTGGATTCCCTGGAACTAGATTTAAAGATAGTTGTGGTATTTTGGTTCTGTTTGTTATTTTTTTTTTTTGATTTTGACTTTGACACTGGTTTTATGAGATAAGATCTCATATAGCCCCAGCTAGCCTCCAACTCACTGCGGAGCTGAGGATTACCCTGAACTCCAGATCTTTCTGTTGTGCTAGGATCACGGGTATGGAGCACCATGCAGTATGGAAAAGTTACTCTCAATTAACTTATTGCACACCAGCTACATTTTACTAAATTCAATGCTTTTATAATTTACTAGATTCAATACTTTCACACTTTACTGGGTTTAATAGCTTCACTACAGAGACTGGAGATTAAGCTGTCGAGGAATTCACACATCTCAAACTCTACCACAGACATCCATGTTCCAGCACCAATTGCATCCAAGGTGGCCTATTTCAAACAAGTGTGTACAGATTCACGTCCATAACTATTCCACTAATCTGTTATTTCCACTCAGGATAACTATTAACAAGAGCTCATTCTTTATCCATAATATAAACACAACCAGAAAGATGTATACCATTGTCTGCTTTAGGCTTTAAGGCCCACCACTTTTCATAGATAATTAATGTGATATGCATTGAAAAACAAAAAAGACAGACAATATATTATTTTAAACAAGACCTGGAAATAGCACCTCTTCCATAAACCATTTGGTGAATACTCCTTGATTATTTAATGTAACCTCACATTCCTCAAATACTGCGCAATTAGAGTTTTTACCTTACATGACTTTCCTGGGGATATCTCATTGGCCTTCTTGCATGCTTAAGTAGAATGAGAGAGAAAGGGGTGAGCAGTAAACAGTCTCTCCAAGGTCTGGAATTTGAATGGGAAGAACTGCTTTTCTATATGGCAGCACTGAATTTGAAGAACACAAGTGGGAAGAGTGTCTGCCTGGGCTGGTGGGCAGAGTTCAGTGTGATCTATATCCTTCCCTGCCTCCCTGAAGTGCTTCAGTCCATCATCTTAGCTTCAATTTTTATTGTTCTCACCTACAAACCAAGAAATACATGCTATAGAGTTACTAGAAGTTCTACCAGGCTTTCAGAAGCCACTTAGAATATGGTGTTCTGGTTATCTGGTTCACAGGGCTCACCTCCAACCTCCCTGTAAGTGTCTGTTGACTCTGAACAGTAGAAGGTTAAGACATATTGGAGGTGGCTTTCAAACATCACAGCAACTGAGGCTGTAACCCGTGGCAAAATGTTTGCTTAGCATGTTCAAGGTACCAGGTTCAATCCCCAGAACAAAAACAAACAAAAAGCCCTGGTGACTCACATCTATAATCCTAGATACTCTAGAAGCCCAAACAGAAATTTAAATTTAAAGGAAGCCTGGGCTACAATAGCTTGAGGCTAAGCTTAGGAAGACCATGCCTCCAACATAAAACACACATACATACATACATACATACATACATACATACATACATACATACGGACAAGGAGTGTAACTTGGTAGCAGAGCACTTACTTAGCATGTGTAAAGCTTTGGATTTAATCCTTGACACAATAAAAAAAAAACAGTGAAAATAAAACAGACATATTTTTGAGCCAGGCATACTGACACACATTTTTAATCCCAGCACTCCAGAGGCAGAGGCAAGCATACATATCTCTGTGAGTTTCAAGCCAGCCTAGTCTACATAGTGAGTTTTAGAATAGCCAGGACTATGTAGAGAGAGAGACCCAGCCTCAAAGAAACCAAACACAGAAAATCCAACATGGCAACTGCTTGCCTCAGGCTGGAAGTGTGGCCCTAGCTGTTTCTGACAGGTAGTATGTCAGGAGGTAAGCAGGATTCCTTGTGAACTTTGAACAGATTCATTCATCACGACTCAAAATCCCCTCACACTGAAAGGGAGACTTGTCTGGGAGAATGTTTCATCCAATCCTGCATGCCTGAGGGCATAGCTCTTCATTTCTGAAAATAGTCCAGCGAAGAAAGGACAACTTTTTCCTCAAAACATTTAGTGCCCCTTCCATACATTTAAGATTCATATCTTACCATTAGAGTGTTGGCCACATGTCAGACATACTGTAAGAAACAACAACTGAAAAATGGTATTAATTTAACCCTTCAAAACGGAATTTGCATTACCTCAGTATTAACAGCTTCCATTGGTCTTTTCTTGGTTTCTCCTATGTCCAAGTAACTAGAAGGGAAAAGTGAGGGTCACTTTTACAGGTTTGAAGTCAGTTAATAAAATGTTTAAACGTTAGTAAACAGTCACCAGTCATAGGAAATGTACAGGCCTGAAGCAGAAATCAGTAGGCACTAGTGTTGTGAGGACAGTGTGCACACAGCCTCACCAGCCAGAGCTGAAGCATCTGCCTGGTTAGGAAGCATTTCTTCCTTAATAGTAGCTTCTCACTCTGGACTTACTCTCCTTCTCCCGCTCTCCTTCCCCCTCCCCCTAACCCTACCACTCTCCTGCTTTCTTCCATTATTTTTCTTGTTTTAGAGACAGGGTTTTATATACTGAAAGTTAGGCTTGAACCCACTGTGTCACCAAGAGTGACCCTGACTTTCTGATCCTCCTGCCTCTCCCTTCCCAGTGCTGGGATTACAGGCACACGCCACCACACCTGCTGCATGTGGTGCTGGGGCTCAAATACCACCCATGCAAGTACTCTACCAACTGACTCACTCTCTAGCTATTTAATGTAACTCCAGCCTCTGAATTCTATAAATTCTATTATTGCATTAATTACAAAAGTTAGGGAAATAGAAATAGTGAAAGTCTGGAAAAGACAGACTGAGGCATCAGAGTCAAACCTGGGAAAAAATTGGGTAGTTTTCCCAGTGACACTGAAATACCCAGCCATTTAGAGTGGTTTAGGTATTGGATCAGCTTACAAACAGATGGGGCGGGAGTTAGTTAACCTCTGAGACTCTTATTATCCAATTCTTTCCACTACTGATACTAACTAGTGGCTGTTGCCTAAACACAACCAAAAATGTATTGTCTTTGTCAGCTTCAGGGGATTAGCCCATCAGTGTGATCTAGTTCCAGGTTTAAATGCTTCCCAAACTATCTTTGAAATAAATATACTAAGTAATTATTTTAATATAAAAGTATAAATGTAGCTTCTAATTTATAACCCTAAATTAGAGACTCAACTATCTTAACTACTATAGCAGACAAGTTGTCAATAAAAAGAATTTATTCAGGTGGTAAAGCCACCTGCCATTAAGCCTGAGTTCCATCCCTATGACCTACATGGTGGAAGGAGAGAACTGACTTCCCAAAGTAGTCCTCACACTGCAAGATGCACACACCTACACACATATGCATACAGACAATAATAGTGAATGCAATAAATTGTTACAAGTTTATATATTAGAATTAACTTTGGCTATTGGACTGGGTTCACCACTGGCTGATGCTGTTTGGTTTTATCGGACAGAATGTTAACTGATGTGGAACTTAAACTATATTTCCCTATGCAAATAGCAATTGTGTGAGACAGTGTGAAAAACTGATCTCAGCAATGAAATGGGTCTTTTGGGAATTTCCTGGATGCATTTCCATCTAGACAAAAACATTCTGTTGTTTTATACTCCAAATGTCTCAGACCTAATGGGTTAACGGAGGTGAAACAACTCCAAAAACATATGAGAATAGTTTTAGAGGTATGTGTATGTGCACTTGTAAATATGTGTTTGATCATGCACATGCTGCAACTCACACGTGGAGGTCAGAGAACAATTCCATAGAATGGGTTCTCTCCTTCCTTCCACCTTTACATGGGTTTCAGGGGTCAAACTTAGGTTATTAGGCTTGCAGCATGAGCACCTTTACCATCTCATCTTGGCCCCAAGAAAAGTTTTGAGAAAATGCTGTCTAAAAGTACTGTAAAAGAAAGGTTTAAAACCTACCTGAACCTTAGAGAAAGTGTCAAAAGATATTAGAAATGTCTAAGTGAAATACGTTCCAGCAGGAAATCGATCATCACTTTCTGACAAGTATTTTGCTGTCTTCTCCAACATTATGTTGGCTCAAAGTGAAAACCCATGAATGATCCTCAGCACTTCTCAGACTCTCCTTTGTTCTGTCAGTTGCTTTGGTTGTTATACAATCATACAATGTTAAACTTCAAACATCCAGCACTTAAATCTTTTGTGTCTATCCCGACAAGCATAGATAAATACTAACCGATACTTGAACACCAATCTCAGCATGGAAAACTAACCGTGGGGACTTCAGTAACAAACTCAGTTTTTGTGTTTCTTTGTGTGAATTAAAAGTAAAAATTAACACTGCAGACCCATTATATGCATATAAAAAGTGGTTTGAAAAGCAAGTTCTGTTTGTCTTAAAGCTGCAGTTTTTCATCCTGATTTGGTAGCAACACACCTACAAAGAGGGACATAAATGACTATAGTCTATAGCTTTCAGCTATTCAAAATCTAAACCAGATTTCCATCCTCATGAAAGTGTTCTGTCTCTAAGTGGAATGTTTTTGTTGTTTTGCTGTTGTTGTTTGAGATGGGAGCTCACACTGCCCAGGCTGGCTTTGAACTTACTCTGCCCCAGCTGGTCTTAAACTCCTGATCTACCTGCTCTGTCTCCCAAGTGTTAGGCTTACATGCCCCACTACACCCAGGTATGGAAATAATTTAATTTAAAATACAGATGTAATGCAAGATACTGGCCATAGAGAGAGGTCTTATATTTATAAATATAGCAGCATCTACAAAATGCATTCATAGCCTAGTTTTTACCTTTTTATTTTTTTAACATAGGGTCTCGTGTGTCTAAGGCTAGCCCAATACCACATAAAACCAGGTTTGGTGATGCTTGAGAGATAGAGGCAGGAAGATAATAAGGCTCAACCTGACCTTGAACTTCCTGTGTAGGAGAAGATGACCGTAAACTTATGATCCTCCTGCCTCTGCCTCTTAAAGGGTCAAGTTACAGATGTGTGCACCACAGCTGGTTCTGTGTGGTTCTGGTAATCAAAGACTTTGTGAATGCTATGTAGCATTCTCTCCCAACTGAACTCCTCCGTTGATTGGTTGATTCCAAACACTTGCCCCACATGCAGATCTAAGAAGCTAGCTAAGTCTAAGTCCTCTGGTTGAACTAAATTTCTGGAGATTGAGGCAGGAAGGTGGGAGTTCCAAGGTCATCCTTGGATATATATGGGGTAGATGACAAGCCAGGACTATGTGAGACCTTCTCAAAGAAACAAAACAAAAACAGTTCTAGATTTCTTTTAGACACAGTGTTTCATTGAGCTCTTTTTTTCTGTAGTTAGACAAATCACACTTAAGGGAAGTTTCAGAGAAGAAAAAAATAAATTCAGAAGTACCCCCTTGTCTTTTGTAAGAAGACAGTTTCCATTCCCAGAGAGCAGGCCCCTTAGAGATCAGCTTATACAAGCCAGGTGAGCAAGGGCACTACTGGAAAACTTCAGTATTTTGGTGAAAATGTTTCCATACAATTAGAAAATAATCACAGGAAATAGATTTATAGTAAATATTTTTAACTATTTGCTGTCTGGGGCCCAAGATAAATTTAAATTAAAATATTCTATTTTAAAGCTATGGATTATAGGATTATAATTCCATTGGTAGATACAGCGAGAAATAAAAAGTGGCAAACAAATGTCCACAGAAACATTATTCATAATAGCCCCCAAAGTGAACAGCTCAAATCCATCATCTCCGTAATGGATGTCATATCATGGACAACTACTCAACTGTAGAGTGGCACTGATACGTGCTACAGCGGATAAACCTTGTGGATAAACCTTGTTTAAAGTGTTACATTGGCAAACAGAACAAAGTCCACGTGCTGTACTATTCTATACCATAAGTACAGGAAAGAGTTAATGGTTTGCTCATGCCTGGAGAGAGAGAAAGTTGGGAGGTGTCAGTTTCTTTAGGAGAGTGATTGAGATATTGTAAAATGGATTTGTAGTGATGGTTCACAACTCTGGAAATCATGGAAATGGGTTGATTCACCAATATGCATCAGTAAAGCCTGAAAACACTCACGGAATGTAGAGAGTTAACTATGCTCTCCACTCCTGACAACTCTCAACTCGCACATAAACTTCAATTCTTTTCTTATTGTTCCTATCTCCTTATGACTTACATTAAAATTATCAGTGTACAGGTGGAAAGTACTCAAAGATGAGCCAAGTCTGTCCATCTTAGTTCACTCCACAGACCTTAAGCTCTGTTGCTAATTCACAGAAAAAGACGGTGGAGGTGCTTCCTATTGGAAAGCAGCCTGTGGGTCCTAGAGAGAGATGTACACAGACACAAAAGTGGACTTGTCCAAGCATTCTGTGACTTACGACACGGGAAGAGGGCACAGCACCTGGTTGTGAGCTTTCTGCTTGCAATGAAGGAATTCAAACAATGAGGAGGAAAATCATAACAGAGCATCCAGCACTTGGAATAAGCCTGTAATCTCACACTTGGGAGGCTGAGGCAGAAGGACAGCAGATAGTTCAAGGCCAGCCTGATCTACATAGTAAGTTTCAGATTGGAGCTACAGAGATCCTGTCTCAAAATAACCCAACAAAGTTGTTGCTTCTACACTGTTTAGCCAGCCATTTAAAATCTGCACCTACGGCTACTGGAGTGAAATTCCTTCTCCAGTTTCAGCTGGCAACTGCCAGCTCCTCGCTAGACGAGAAGGCAGCCTATCAACCACGCCCCGCGGCCCAGGGCACACTGACTCACTTGAGTTTCTTGAAGGCTTCCTGGCCCCCGGCCACGTAGTTGCCCCCGCTCTCAATCTGGTCCAGTTTCCGGATGCGGTGGCCCGTCCTCGGGGTGTAGATGTTCCTAACCGCCCCAAAGGGCGCCTTCACGCCGCCTGTCACTTCCTTGAGAAAGACGTCGAAGCTGGACACCTTCTTCTCATGAATGACGACACGGCGCCCGGCGAAGAAAGGGTCCCCATTGCGGTACACCAGAACGCTCTTCACCACTGGCTGCGACAGGTGGCTGGACCTGGGGCTGGGGCCGTTCATCTTCCCTGCTGGACACCGGACCCGCTAGCACTCCACCGCCCTGCAACACCAGTTCGTGGACCGCCTCCTGCAGAGACAAGGAAAAGCCACTCGCAGGTGAAGAAGGGCCAGCCCTGCGGGGCCAGCCCCTGCTGGTAGCAGTTCAAGTAAGGCGCGGTGCAGACGGCCAATCAGCGCTCTCAGGCTCGCACACCTGTCTCTCCCGCCCCGCAGCGCCCAGGTGTGCTGCCTGGGAACTCGCACCGCCCGGGCTTTAAACCCCTGCGCGAGCTGGGACAGGAGGGACAGCGGCGGAAGCGCGCACTTAAGCGCGCGCACACGCACACGCTCTCAAGCGCACATTATTAGCATGGCGAGGTTCAGTGCTAACATCACATCTGTGTTGTTTCTCCCAACTGCTTCATTTTTTTTTTCTTTCCCTTGTCTTGCACTCTAAAACCAGCTTATTCGCCCACCCCACCCCCGCCCCAATAAAGCCATTAAGATCCGGGTTAAGGTTGCGGGGATTTCTCCTTTGAGGAAAACAAACTACTTAAAAATGCATTGAGAAGTTTGGACACAGTGATGCACATCTGTCATCCTAGAATTAGGGCTGCTAGGACTGGAGTATTGCCTCGAGTTCGAGGCCAGCCTGGACTACATGGAAAGTTTTAAGCCAGCCTCAATTATTGACAGACTAAATCAGTATCAGTAAATTAAGTAAGTTGCAGGCGCTGGGGGGCACCTCTGTGAAACCCTAGCAGGCCGCGCGTCCCTAGCACCGGTCCTCCAGCCGCCGTTAGTATTTTGTGAGGGCCTGCCAAGTCCGCGGGGAGTCCAGTTTGTTTTTTTTTTCTCGCCGTTTCCATAGCAACTGCAGCTCGCGCGGAGAGTTAGCATAGGAACTGGTTCTGGAGTGCGCTTGCCTCCCTTGAGCTTCTGTCTGCCTCTGGCATCAAAGTCGTAAAGTGGCTGAGAATGTGTTACCATGCCAGGGCTGTGCCAGTGTGGTTCTTGGAGACAGCTTGGAAGATAATATCCTACAGTATTTTCAGTGCCTACTATGTGCCTCGAAAATATTTTTTTTTAAAAAACTGAGTACATTGGGGGACAATAAAAATACAGACACATATATACATATACACATATTTCTGCTGAAATGAACCAAACTACTGAATATAATTTATCCCTACATAGTTTCATCTAAGAAACTAGAAATATAACTCCTGACTTCTCATTTTTTTTTAAAAAACTGAGTACATTGGGGGACAATAAAAATACAGACACATATATACATATACACATATTTCTGCTGAAATGAACCAAACTACTGTTCCCCTTATTCCTGCTAAGTATGTCTACATTTTTAAAGCAGGCACTCCCCTTTGAATAGGAAATGCCCCCATAGGCCCATGTATTTGAAGAATTAGTCCCCAGTCAGTAGAGTATTTGGAGAGAGTATGGAACCCCTTAAGAGGTGAAGTATCACTGAAGGAAATAAGTCACTAAAGGCGGGTCTTCAGGTTTATAGACTTGCCCCACTTCCTTGCCAGACTCAGTTTCCTGTGAATCCACATAGTTGTGAGCAAGCAGCCACCATCAGCTCCTGCCACCACCATGCAACCACATGCCACTGGGGTCCCTAGCATGATGAACCGTAGGCCCTCAAATGGCGAGCCAAAATAAATCTCTCCCTATTTCATTTGTTTCTTGTCAGGTGTTTGGTCACTAGATGAGAAAAATTGTCAATAACAGCAGGTGTTACTAATTCATCATATCTGAGTAAAAATAATTTTAAAACAGTGCATTAAACATTTAAGAGTGTACCAAGCATTGCTCAGGGCACTTTACACACATTACCTAATTTAATGCTCACAATAATCTTCAGATGTGGAAATGTATGTTCAGAGAAACTGAGGAAATTTGCCTAAAGTAACTTAAACACGAGGCTTCAAACTTGGTCTGCCCTATTCCAGAACTCCCTTAACCGTGGTGACATAACAATATGAAACATGAACTTGTAGGGATTGCAGTGTGAGACAGAACAATTATGGTTTCATTTGCTTTGGGTTTTTTGAGAGAGGATCTCATTGTCCCAGGCTAACCTCAAACTTGCTATGCAGCAGAGGATCATCTTGAGCCTCTATCTGCTGAATACTGGAATTACAGGCATGCCCTGCTATGCATGGATGCTGGGGATGAAACCTAGGAGCTTTAAGCATGCTAGGCAAGCATTCTATGATCTGAGGTACATCCACAGCTACAGAAACATTTTCATCTAAAATCATAAACCACAGTGATGTCTTGAAAATTGGCAGCTTTCAAAAGATCAAAATGAATAGACTAATAGAGAGGGAGGAGGAAAATTCTGGTTCTGGGAACACATAGGTGGAGGGTTTGTGGGGAAATAAATAGCTATGAAAAGTCAGCTAAGCACTTAGACCTCCAAACATGTAAAGCTCCCTGCTGCCAACACCAGCCCCACCCAGGATGAAAACATGCTCCTTGCTCAAAACTTCAGAGCTTCCAGAAGGCAGGCACAGAGCACTAAATGAAGCCCAGGATCCTTCTGGGAGTGGGACACTTGT